TAAATTGCAAAATGCTTGCATGTGAATGTGCTCATTTTTCTGAGAGACACAAAACTAAGAAACTCTCAAAAGCTCTCTGCTTTTCAAAACTCTCCTCAGTTTTGAAGAGTGGGCCCATGGTGGTAATGGTAAATACTTATAATATGTATAAAAATGATGTGATTAAAAAAAAATGTTTTCTTGTTTTTTGATTGTCAACATGATAAACACTATTCTTTCTTACTTCTTCATTCCTTTCCTCTACTTTCCTTATAACTAAGAACATATTTTTATCATAGTCATATGGGAAGGCATAGGATTGTTCTGTATTCAGGTATTTTCAAGAAAGTAATCTGGCTTTATTCCGTCAATTGATGAATAAAGCAATTTCTGGGTCTTCTCATAGTTGCTGTATGACTTGTAGAAGATTGGTCTCTCTCTCTCTATCGGAATTTTCTCTTCTTTTTCCTTATTGTATATATTATTGTACAAGTGTATTTATGCTGGTGTGAATTACCATAAGTTTTCTTCATTCCATACTGTATACATTTAAATATACTATTTAATTGCATAATAGATATAGAAGAATGGGGAAGAAAACAAGAGTACATATATTTCTAACAAGCTTTTTAAGAATTTTCTAAAAATGTTCAACCATTCCTTCTTAGTAACTGGTTTTGAGCTTGTTCTACAGTTTTATTAACTGAAACTAATCCTCATAAATACGTGGAGTATCACCTCTCAATTTTTGTTCCCTTGCTGAAGAAGATAAATCAACAAAATCCCAAGTAATTTCATACTATAGATGAAGCAAGGCAAAAGTTTGGGGCTCTAAATTTTCTAGATCAGTGGGCAAAAGAGTTTAAGTGACTAAATTATTGTGTCATGTGTGTCCTTGACAGTAGTTGAATCTCCAGGTGACTGATGTACTTCAACTATCTACCAAGATCTTAGATAAAATCTGAACTGCTATTGCTTATGCTGGATGAATATATGTGTGTATGTTTTTCCATAAACATAAAATATATATATAGGATATATAGGGGTGCATGTGTGTATATATACAGTACACACATATTTGTACTTGTAAAAAATCCTCTCATCATGTGATGATGAGACAGCAAATCTTTTGCTGTTTAAGTATGTTTAATTATGGTTGTCTCTTTTTTTCTGATTCCTGAACAAAGCTTCTTCACTAGGAGAGTGGGATTTAAGACAGTTCATTAATTGCTGCAAAAGAAGAGAATGGAGAGTACATAGAGCAATATCTGCTCTTGCACAGTCCGTCATTTCTCTTTTCTTGGCCTTGTTAYTGACCCTTTCTTATTCAGATAAGAGACAGTTATTCTAAATTGTGCTATCAGCAGTGCTCCTTTTCGGTGTTTTCCTGTCAATCTGATAAAAGTAAAAGTACCTCCATTTCTCAAAGGCAAAAACATCAGTTACATGAAAACATGTCTCRCATTGGCAGCTTTGAAACTGCAGTATCACTTATATTGCTCTCTCAAATGAGATTATAAAAGACCCTGACATGCATGTACTGCAAAAGACAAACATAAGACACTTCTGTACATGACAGTGCTTTCTTTCGTTGTGGAGTGAGGTGCTGTGGTTGCTTTCTGAAATGCAATGCATTTGAATTGTTTCAGATTGTAATTGTAAACAGAATAATAATACTGAATCACAAAACTGAAGCTGGAGAAACTTAGATGAAACTACACACAGGAATTATTAATATTATTCTACACATTGAGACTGCTGTTTAAAATTTGCCATATATGACTTCTTTAAGAATTACAACTGATACATAATTCTGGAGAGCTGGTTGCAATAAGTAAATGAYAGCAATTCCAGTGAACCTCTTCAACTTATTGAAACTGTTGTCTTGAATGCTTTATAGAGTAAAATTAAACTCCTGTCCTTCACATGTTCTTGCTTCCTTCCTAAGAGTACCCATAGCAAATAGCTCTGTTAGTAATTATCTTTACATACTTAACTGTTACTTTTCTTAAAAAAAATAAAAATCCCAGTTTTCACTTTTTCTTGTTTCCTACATTATTTGCAAAATTWTAATTGTATATTGACTTTACAGACTCATGGAGAACACCTTTGTTTTGACATTACTGTCAGGAGCTGAGAACAGAGGACTGAGAGGGAAAGGTGTAGAGTGCTTCTGCCTTTCATTAGAAGCAACATAGGTATCCATTTTGTAAGTCATTCCACCTCAGAAACTGATTTTTTTTAAAAAACATTATTTTTATTTTTTCCCCATTCCTTGTCTCAGTAAGATGTTCTATCACATCACTAGTCCAATAGCTGAAAGATTTGGGGTTTTTTTTTGGGGGGGGGGGGGTTGATTTTTTGTTTTTGTTTTTTAATTCCAGCATTCATTTACTCCTCCATGTTGTATATTTATATTTTCTTTTGTCATTAGTATTTTAATGTTATGCTGAAAGAAAACCTCATCCTTTCAGTGAAAAAATGAAAAACATTATTTATTTATTTTCACTTTTTAACGCAAGAGTTCAGGCTTTCTAGTATTTACRCTGTTCATCAGAGTACAATTCCTGATGTAGCACAGGTTCATAGCACAAAACAAAGTGCCTTTGCACTCTCTCCAGTGATAGTTCAAATGTTTTACTTAAACCAGCARGTCCTCTGCAAAATCTTTTTGTGGGGGAAAGGTGGTGGCATTAACAGTACTGTTGTAATTGAGTTTGCTGGGATGGTCTTCACACTTGCCTTTCCAGCAGGGTTTCTAGGAGACATTTGGATACTGAAAAGGGAACCACAAGTGGCAGAGGGGGAGAAAGAGGAATGAGAAATGAGTTGAGGAGATTAGAAAGAAGCCAGAAAAGTTATAAAAGAATGGAGAGTAGAAAAGCAAGGGAAATAATATGACAGTGAAAATGGCAACAGTTGCAACTCCCTGCACCATAAATAAAAATTAAAGAAAAAAAGAAAAAAGAAAAAACAGTAGTTAGGKTTTTTTAACCTGTCATTTGATTTGTGCTATGTTGTTCACAGAATCACAGAATGTTCAAGGTTGGAAGGGACCTCTAGAGATCATCCAGTCCAACCCCCTGCTCCAGCAGGGACACCCAGAGCACGGGGCACAGGGCGGCATCCAGGCGGGTTGGGAAGATCTCCAGAGAAGGAGACTCCACAGCCTCCCTGGGCAGCCTATGTCAGGGCTCTGGCACTCTCACAGCAAAGTTCTTCCTCATTACTTGATAATAGATATGTATTGACAAAGATAACTCCTGCATCTCTGACAACTCTTCATCACTGAGGAGAAGAGGGAAAAACAGACACTAAAGCTCAGGAGAGCTGTAGCAGGGACCCAAAATTTGCTGACCCCAGTGGGGCAGACCTCTTTTATATTAGAGCCAATTGCTGTTTCATTGCCTGATTCTAGCTAATAGCAGGGCAAACTGCAAAGCAGACTAAGCCTTCTGATAAATATTATTGTAATAGCTAGTAAAAGAGAAGGAAAGGTACAGGAAAAGGATGATTTACACTCAGGAGCATGAGGCAGAATAAGATGCTTTTTTTCTGGAATAGTGATGCTTTCACTGTACTTTGAAGGTACCTGTGGACTGTGMTCTCCTCACCTGCAAATAATACCATATTTTGGAGACTAGGATTTTAGGGACTGGCTGGGATACAAGATTTTCTCAAGCTTTTGCTTAAGCATCCCCTTTTTTTCTGGTTGATACTTAAGACTAGCAGAGAAGTGACTGCTGAGCCAAAAAAAAAAAAAAAAAAAAAAAAGGTACCTAAGCTGTATTTGAGGTTTTTTTTTTTTCTTTTCTTCCTTTTGCCTCTTTCTAATATCAGAGACAAAATCTGTCCTAGAAACTGGACAGATTCCTTTTCCTCCGAAAAGCTTTGAATGGGGGAGACACTTGGTATCTGATTGGAATTTGACCAGTAGTATATCTCAACAGTATATAAAGCAAAAGTTCTTATGAGGGAAAAATATTCTGCTTCCTCTTCTGGTCATTATTTTTCATGATAGTGAGAATAGCCTAATAGCTGCTGTAGCCATGTCTTGTTTGCAACCTATGTTTTGACCAGAATGAGTAGCTAATATTTTTGTTCTTTTTTATTCTGARAATAGCTACTTTTTTTCATCTGTGTTGCTCCACTCCTTAGTAAAACTCTATTAACTATTTAGTAAATCTATATTTATAGCATGAATAAATCTCTATTTATAGCATGACTATATTCATACATTTCTTAGGGAAAAAAAATACTCTCCGTTCTAAACTAATAGAAAATATTTTATAGATTATTAAGTAATTTTCTCTCTTAGATATTTTTTGGATGGGTTTTTTTTCTTTTTTTTTTAATGAGAAAATTGTGGGGAGATATGCTTTCAACTGAAACTTAAGCAAGTATCACTTCCAGTCTTGGTTTCAATAGATTGTCTTAAAAATAATATATAGTGAATTTGAGCTTGTCAGCTGAGGAAGAAGGCAATTATCAGATGGCTGAAAATATATGTATAAAACAAAACATTTTGTGATTACTCCGTAGCCTTGTTCTAGAAAGCCTGCTTAAAACATGGCCAGGAATCAAATTCTTGCCTGAAACAGTGAGTTCTGATTGCTACTGCAAAAGAATAAATAAATAAATCACTTATTTTCTCTCATACTTCTATGGTCTTACTGGCTCCATAACCTCATATAAGAGGTTTTATATGGCTGTAGGGGTCACTTTCAAACACTTCAAGTGATTTAACATTTGTCAGTATGTCCTGTTGGGCTGAGTTAGTCCCATACAGAGACACTATGTCCGAAAGATTTAGTGTTCTTAGACACATAGTTGCCTTGAAGTGGGGTGCCATCAACCCTCTATATTAATAACAGCTGATTTCCTCTTGTCTTCATTCAGAAACAGCTGATATTTCTACTGCCAACTGGGAGTCAGTTTCTCAGAGAGAACAGTTCTCTCCCTGCCTTTTGCTTCCTTTCTCAAAAATACTCTTTTTTTCTTTACTTTTTTTTTTTTTTTTAATCCCTTTAATATGTTACCTTCAGTTTTGTTTATGTATTACAACATACTGGGAATCATCTCAAAGTACGTAATACTCTTTAGTAGTTTTCTGGTGTTAGAGGTGTGGTGTTACACACTGAATATTCCTGTATGTGATGATTTGTAATGTGAACCTTTAGGTTACCTATACTTGAGCCAAATTTCTCTCAAATATTTAGATACAGAGTAGGTTCCTTTGAATCAAAGTGGGAGTAGACTTGAATTTAGCACGTGATATGTAATCTAAAATACTAAGATGTTCTTCGGTGCTGACATTTTTCTTTTCTTTCACCAGATGAAGCAGTGGATGTGGTGTGTCTGTGGGTTGCAAAAATAATTTCTCTTTCCCTATATATCAGTATAAAAGTAGTTGACTACAGTCAGATCATAGAAAGAAGGTGTTTGTTTGAACTTGTTTGGTGTTTTAAATGGCATGGGACATTCRATTACACTTGACTGCTAATTGTTGTGGGTTTTTTTTTTTTTTTTGCTAAAATTTTACAGCTCATTTGACTAAGATGACATTGTTATTAAGTTAAATATTCCTCTTTAGRTGATTTTTTGCCAGGTTACTTGTGTCTTTTGAGATGCAAATGCTAGAGTTCACTAATACTGTTTTTGGTCTAAACCAGAAAGACTCTGAGAAGTTTCCTTAAACTGGACTTCAGTATTTTTTTTTTTTTCCCTCAAGATTTTCCAAGATATACCTTGGACTTTGCAAGTCTTTTGGTTTGTAGTGCCTTATCTCAGAAACACACACACACACCCCTTCAGGCTGTCCTCTCTGCTCCTTCCTTGAGCCATCTGGAGCATGATCAACAGCTGTGTTTTTTCAGGGATCTGCTTTTCCCTTCTAGTGATTGCATATTAAAAGCAATTGCWATCTATTTGCAATTTAGTGATTTCAAATTAGATCCAACTTTGGGTCCTTGCAAAGGTCAGAATATTCCAATAATGTTCTTGGGATAACATCAGAGATCTTGACATTTGAACGAAGTAATTTTTTCCTAGTTGATTAAATCTCAGTCACCTGGAAGAATTTAACTGTGGCTGCTGGCTTTGGCATCTGGGCAGACAGCTGTTAGAGAGGTCAGGAATGGAGTTCTGCGCTTCTGAAAAAAATGCAGAGGAGAGGGGATCCTGATCGCATAGACTGATAAATAACTTCAGAAACTGGTGATATACAATTGGAGGTATTACTTCTTCTACTAATATGTGTTATCTAGCCTGTTCTCTAGGATATTTAAAGGGTGTTCATACATGAGATGCAAGAGAAAAGTATGTAACCTCATATGCATGTAGATATGACGCTCTTTATCATCCTAAGGGGTTTATCCATGCCATTCATTGCCTAATGATAGATTTAGAGTGAGTAGTGTTGTTGAGCAACGCAGGTTGTGTATGCCTTGCAGTTCATTTCTGAATATTTTGCCTTCTAGTAGCTTTGCTACAGTGAGTTTATGATTACAGTGTTAACTCAAAAAAATCTGACTTCTGATTTTTTTTWAAATTTTTATTATTCTTATTTTTTTAAAAATTTTTATTCTTATTTTTTAGATAGAAATCCATTCAAAAGGGTTTTTTTATGCAAGGCCTATGGAAAAGAGACAATGGGATCAGAAGTCTTAAAATGTACTGTTCTACAGTACAGATAAAGTTTGAAATAGAAAACTTAAAGCAGTCTAGACTCATAAAGCATTTAACCTAGAATAGTTTTGTACACATGAAGAACTGATTTTTTTTATTTACTTGATAAATATGATGGCTGCTTAATTCATTTAGTGGCTCTGAATACAGTGTAGTGAATATAATCTTGCTTTGTAGGTTAATTTTAGAATGCCTTATCCTGTCCTTCCTTATTAGCTATCAAAATTAGGATTTATCTTCCACTTCAAGTGTTGCAAATGTGAACATGCTGAAAAATATATTTAAGATTCAAATTATCTTCTCCAATCTTACCTAGCTATCAAAATGTGACATCTCTATTTTTGTTGTTAGGGTTTTGAGGAGATGGCAGGGGAAAACTTTTGAAGATGCTAAATATGTCAGTTGATAAACATTTTGGAACCCTTTTTTAGGTATCTAAATGGAAGCCTGTCAATTAGAAAAACCATCCAGCAAAGGAGTATTAGATGATATTTCTGATAGTAACATGTGGAAGATATAGCTCATTATTCATTCTTTAACCCAGTGGAGAGCTATAGCAGGACCATAGGAATGCGTGGACATCAAGTATATAATCATTGATTTTGCAGAGCAGGTTGCAGTAATTTATGAACAGTAAGTAATATTTATGCTAGTATACTGTAAGTATAAATGCTTACTGTAACAGGCACTGTCTTTTGTTTAGGAATTAAAAAGCAGAAAGGACCTTAAGAGGCACAGGTAATAAGTACACATCTCATTTTCCATCTGGCATGTTTCCTTTTCTTTCGTTTTGAACCTGTTGTTGAGAATTTTCAGCAAAGAACAAACAGTTCTCTCTTTCTCTTTTTTTTTTTTCCCTTTTGTTAAAAAAAGACGTAACCAAATCATCTGTGCTGTACCTATAATAATTGCTGATGCATATTAGGTACCACTCGACAGCTGTCTGATATGTGGACTGGTCAAAATGCCAACCTGAAATTTAAGATGTTAAAATTTAATGTTCAAGATGTCAAAACTTAATGTGTTCTTATCATTTTAGTACATTTTTTTTTTAAAGAAAAATCTAATAAATCATATAGTAAGTCTTCGTATGTGGGGGTATAATCGACTCTTCTAGAACTGATGCTAATATCACCTTAGCTCCCTGTAAGTCAGGGTTTGTTTGTGATATCGTGTATTGTTAGCATACAGTGCAATGAAAGAAAACAATAAAAGAGAACGGGCGGAAGGACAAGATGTTTTGATACAGTCCAGTGATAGCAGCATATAATACTGAATTGACTATAACATACACAAAGACCTCATTATTCAAATCATACCTTAAGTCTTAAAATACCTAGGTATTTAAATGAGTCTGAATACATGGCTTTATGTCATGTTTTTTTGAGCTTCTGAAATATATTGTAGGCATTCAGAGCACTTTACTATTGAGAACCATAGAAATACTGAGATTTCTTTAAAGTTAGATGGTGTAGCTAATTATATCCTCTTAAAGTCTATTTTTAGCACTTTTTAATGTTTACTGCTCTGTTAATTATCTTGTTTTCATTTCTTTTGAAGTCAGCCTTGACCAATACAAACTTATTCTGTTGTCCAGTTTTCCTCAGACTCTTTTCCATCTTTTCATAAGATCTTCCTGCAAGTACACATCCTCTCTCCATTCATATGAGATTCACACTTTCTGATCTAGGTTAGGTGCCTTGTCATTATCTCTCTGATATTCTATGTAGAACGTACATAGAATAAGTGTAGAGCATATTTTCACATCACACGTTCCCATTCATTTTTTTCATAAAAGCTTTTGTATGTGTTTCTTGAGTTTTTTCTCTCCTGTCTCTCATGATAGCCACTACATGCTGAACATTACACTGAAGTGTGGTGATGTTACTCTGTTGGTTTCTCTTAGATTTATGCTCTGCATTAGAAAGAGTATCATTCAGTGTATATCCTCTAACAGAAAGTTCTGTGGCAAGCAACATTAAAACAAACAAAAAGGCAAAGGCAAATACTTTGTTTTGGAACTGAATTAAAGTGAGTAGTCTTTTTTTTTTTTTTTTTTTTTTTTTTTTTTTGAAAAAAAATAGAGAAACCAGAAACCTCTGCAACCAAAAAGATTTGCATGAAGATTGCATGGTTAGAACTGTTATTTATATTGCAGTAGTACTTCAGAAGCCTAGGCATGGTACAGAAACCCACTGTGTCCTCTAAAAACAGAAAGGAAATTTAAATCATGCTCTCTGATTGTCAAATAACTAAGGAATCCTTTCTTAGGGAGGTTTTTTCTGAATTTTGTCAGTGCCACAGGACAATTTTATCACAAGTCAGTGATAATATGGTCTTATCATAGCGTTTCTTGAATCAGCCTGATAGAGCCTTTTCCTAGTGTCTTGTAGGGCTTGCAATCCCCATAACCATATCCTGTCAGCCTTGCAGTTAACAGTATTTATAGCATAGGGAATTCTTGATATCTTCTTCCTTCCCCAAGGCACCTTGAACATAATTGTCTTCATGTGCAAATGACTTAAAATAATAAACATGGTATTTTGAACTCTAGCTGTTTATTAAGCAAACTTGGGATAGCAAAAGGTGCCAATTTATAAATAAGATAAACTCATTTAATTACAGTGCTGCATTTTACAACTGGTATTTGCTTGAAGCATTGCCTGTTTATAGTACAGTGAGTGATTAACTGTTGTGACTAGAGAATAATTATTAATTATATTTCAATTTGTGAACTGGTATGTGCATATCTAATAAATTTGGTTGTGCTATGAAAGCTTTTGGGCCAGTTAGGTAACTTTCTAAACAATTATGAAAGGTGTATGTTGAACTATATGTTTGATAAGTACCTGCATAAAAAGCTTTCTACTCATTAAACCTAATTCAACCAGACAATAAATCCCTGGTCTAGGACCAACACTGGATGTTCCTTACTTCAGTTCTGCTTCTGAACTTCCTAGAAAACATTAGTTCATTCAGAAAATGTACCAGCATTTGTGCAAGTATTATCATCTCTGCAATATGAAATTGCTCAGAACTATTTCCAAAAAACATCCAGCTGCAGAGTAAAATGGTCAAGAGAGTGCTAATGGAATGCAGATTATTTCATTTTCATCTTAGCAGTTAAAAAGACTCTAGAGAATAGAAACAAATTTCTGTGATCTTGTGAAAGCTGTTTGGATATCCATCTGAAAAGTGAGAAAGATGTCTGGTCTTTTTCATGTAACAAATATTGTCACTATGGTAGATACGTATTTTTTAAACTTTTTTGAGCAGTCTCCACGTAGAAGTAAATGACTTAAAGCTGAGCTCAATACACACATATAATAGGTAGATTATTCCTTCCTTCTTTCTTTCTTTCCACATTCACCAGCAGACGAAAAGCTTTTGTTGTGTGATAACTGCAATACTGCTATTTATGCACATCTTTCTGAGACAGATAATTCCTCACCCAAAAATTTTTCTGTGCTATGTTTCAAATTTAATTTTAATTTTACTTTTATATGTCCCCTTTTTAATCCACAAAATAGCTTTCCGTGCAACAAGTGATACAGCTCCTCCTAGAGTGGAGGAGGCAGAAAGAAAATTTTAAAATGAAATGTGTAAACGGCCACACACCATGACATCTTAGGTCATGGGTGTTCTTGGGCTTCTGAGCCCGAGTTTTTTGTTTCTAGAGGTCAGCAGTAAGGTAGGGCAGTATATTTCCTTACTTTCCTTACTGTACATACCATACATCTCTTAAATAGAGCAAAGAAAGAATAAAAAAAATCCTGTTCAAGGTTTTTATTGACATTACTGGCCCTTATATTACAGACTGCCTCAGTCTCTTCGATAAGAGGGAGAAACATGTTCTACAATCTCCAACTGTTTCATGTCATCCAATAGCACTGGAACTCTAACAGAGCAGTTAATTTTCCTCTTCTTTGCAAAATAGAATTTCAAGGAAAATAGGCTTTCTGTTATTTGAATGTCATTTTCAGATGTTGGTCTTGTGTTTGATCTTGTGGTCAAATGAAGACTGTGGATAAAGGTGAATATAGTCTCTTTACAATTTTAGGACAGAATTGGATTTTTCTTTTTCTCGTTAAATCACCAAAATGTGTCTCGACAGCTTCCTTCAAGTCCCCATTTTTTTCCCAAGTGTTTTGACAGCTGATATGTCCTTTACGTCAGAAGAAGCTGTTCTTTCCCTCCACTGCCCAGTAGGTGATCTCATTTTAACAGTATTTCCCATTTAGTCTCTTTTTTTTTTTTATTAAATTCATACCTTATTTTTAATTTTGTAAATATTCACTGATAAATAGAGTGCATCCCAAATACAAAAGGTGGTCCCTGTCACTGAAGTAGTTGCTTTTCTTTGTGTTTCTATGCTGCCTGCTTCTGATCCCCAATTACAGTTGTCTTCTACTCAGCATATTGGGACCTGCTGTACAAAGACTATGTAGATTGAAAACTTTACCAAATGACAATTTCCTGGAGATCTGTAGGAAAGCTCTGAAAAGGGAGAGCTTCCATTGCAGAAATGTCTTTCTAGTTATTTTGAGATGAATTTGCAGGAAATTTAGTATATACTGTTTACTGCCAAAAAAAAAATAGTCCATTTGGTTTTGAGTACAGTCTATCAGGAGGTATTTTCAGCATGTTAAATCTTTCCTGAAAGAGAAACACAGGACACTCTTCATAAAGCTTCTGTACCTTCAGAGGTGGCTGAAACCTATCTTTTTTATGCAAGGAAAAAGAGTGATAGCAGTTTCTATTTCTTCTTTTCAGTAAAACTGTTATTAATTAAGATAAATGTTTTTGTGTTTTTTTTTTTTTCAAGGAGAAAATTTCTCATTGCAGGAATTATTTGCATTTTTTTATGACTAACAGGTCTTCCTTTTTATTCTAACAGGTCTTCCAGGCAGCAAAAGTGAATGGCAAATTTATTTTGCATGCTGTAGACTTTATGGCCATTAATATGTAATTGGCAAGAAAATGATATGCATTATTTGGAGTGAAGATGACTGAGTGGGGAGTTTATGTCCCCAAGAGCATTACGCTTATGTTGCTAATACTATGCAGAGAACTTTGGGCCTCCCTTAGGATTCTGTATTTATACAGTATTTATTCTATTATACAGGCTTTACTCTGATGAGTCTGGGCAGGTATCATGTATCTGACAGAATACTGCTTTTAACATTGATGTAATCTGACTGCTGGGTCTATTAGGATATTCATGCTAAATCGAATGTGTATGACTGAAGGGAATTTGATTTCGTATGAACAAATCAGAGCCAGCTAATCTCTATCTCCAGTGACTGAGATACTCAAACAGGACTTGACTGGAGGTCAAGGTGGCTGTGAAGTCAAAAGAGACTCTACAGTCAAAAAGTCAGAATTGTGGCACTGTATCACAGCTTCTGGTCATATATTGTTTTCAGATCCCTTCTTCTTTGAAAGTCTTTCAGGAGGTACAATAGCAGAGGTGGTGTGTCCTCCGGATTTGTAGCTGCTGACCATGAGTCTTCTTAAAAGCTCTACTTCAGGTAACTGTCATGAACAGCATATTTAGGAAGGCTGAGGTTAATGGTTTGGTTATGGTGGTGGTATATAATCTATATACACACAGTAGTTACAGGATCCAGTATGTCATATATATCTGGTATGAGGACRACTCAATGGTGCTGCTACATTCTGCTCTCTAGAGATTTGTGGCTTTTGGTTTTCTTAATTGTCTGAACATGTCTTTGTCAGTGAGCATCTGCTTTCTGCTACCTGGAAAGGATATTTTATGAAACATTTTGTAACTATAAAGCACATAAATAATATAGGTTTTTTTCAATGTATTTTAATTGCTCTGTACGTTTGATGGAACATTTTACTTTTCTAACAGCTACTCTGCTGCTGAGTTTACTTTCTTATGTATTAGATTTTCCTGCTCCTCAGCCTGCCTTAAAAGTTCACTTTGGTTGCTTTTACTCTTGTAAAAAGCAAGTCTATAGCAAATGAAAATTGACTTTCAGTCATTTCTTGGATTTTTCTTCTTTAATCATACTGCTGGTTCTTCTTGCTCTTAGTCTATTCCTTGTGAATTAATTATACTATATTAAAGGAGCCTTCAGAAGAAGTTTTATGTTTAAACTTTCTTATTTGATATAGTTATCAGTTCACATAGGAGCTTCAGCCCAGTCAGTGGGCTGTATATAATTAAACTGTATATTTTAAGAGAATTATTACATTATTTTGATGATTAAAAAAATTAGAGAGTAATATTTTCAAATATTTGTATAGTATACAGACTAGTTACAAGTTGTTTATGTAGTATGCAAACATATAGTATGTACGTAAAGTGTGTTTATTACATACAGCCTTGTGACTGAGCTGAGGTATGAACTGATATGGAGGAGTAATTCAGGATTTTTCTCAACACTTCTTGTTATAAATGTTTGTAAAATCAGGAAAAGAATCTTCTGCAGGAAGGTATCTGTTCCATTAGATATTCTTTCAATCTTCTTGAATTCATCTGTGACCACTTTACCTTACTCATCTTCCTCTGTTTTTTAGTTTTTCATCATGATTTTCTTAGGAATAAGGAAAAAACTGTTGTTGCATTATTGAGCATTACAGCTGTTTTACAGCTATTGAGCTCTCTTATTTTAGGGCAGTTTTGTCAATAGATGATCTCTGTAGTTACTGGCTGTTAATTCTTTTCAGTAAGGTCATGAAAAAGTATTCTAAGTGCTCAGGAAGTTTTTGGAGTCAGTGTTTTCAGGATGTGGCTTGACAGGCAATAGGAAAAAGACAGTCTATTTCACAGCTTAAATATTCCTCCCCCCCCCACCGCCCATAGACCTCTCTTTGACCTCTTACTTCTATTCAAACACCTTTTGGGCAAAGAGGCAGACTTCCTTATTTTTTTTCCGAATTGGCTGTACTTCCAGATGTTCTCTGTATCGAGTATGTTTCTTTCCTTCAGTTTTAAGCATTACATAAAAGTAGACCTCTTGGTATAAAGATGGAAAAGGATGGCTCTTTTCACAGGAGCCAACAGTTGTCATCATGTGCTCACATCTCCTTAACCTAGACCAAGCTCATATGAAGCGGAAGTTTTCTTCTATGTGAAGGGACATTTTTAGCAGTACTTGAATAAGCCTTACTTTGTGCTGTGAAGATTTTTCCAATGATATGAAAAAAAAAAAAAAAATGCAGTTATCTATCTATGCATGAGCAGTGTATTGCAAAAGGACTGAGGCAGCAACATCTGACATATACAAAACTGAGATGTGGTATTTGATACATTTCTTGTCACTGTTGTTATCGGCCAGACATATTACTTTATCTGGATGATTTTAGTGGAAGCTTTCCTTAGGCTGCCCATGAAGGGAAGTCTATTTCCTTTTTTCATTTCTCGACACTTCTGCTTATTGTATAGAATCTTGCTTTGTAGGATGGGAGAAAACATGATATAAAAAAGGATAAGATTATTAACCAGTAAGTGTATTTCTCTTAGTCTTGTTTTCTCCCCTTCTATCTTCCTCCCTCTCTCCCCTTTTTATATTAACACTTATCTGCAGAATAGCATATTTGCTAATTCTACAGCAAATTTTTTAAAATGATGACAAAGGGGAGAAAGGGTGGAAGTTTAYTGTATGTAATACCTCCTTTGATTGACAGTCTTTTTGCCTCCTGCTTCCTAGTAGGTAGATAACGCTTGCTGTATGGAATCTTGTTTTGTAGGATGGAAGAAGAGGGAGGACAGCAACAAACACAAATAGTGGTATGTAATTTTCCCTTTCTCCTTTGTCTCTCCCTTTTTACTAGTCTTAACACAGAATGTGCTCAGTCATATTATGATGTCTGGTACTGCTATTTGCTGCTTTTGTACAAACACATCTTCCAATTTTTTTTTATTAGTCAAAGCAAAGTTACCGGGTCAAGTTGTAGCTACTCTTGCCCGCAATGAGACTGAGTTTAAACTGAGCAGGTCCTATATCCCATTACCAAACCTGAAGTCCTGTTGTCATCCATGAGCTATTTTTAGGCTGTCTTACAAAGGATTTTGAAGAAAAAAAATGATGATGGGGAGAGGGTTATCATCTTTGCATTAAAAAAAATCTACTGTAATAAATCATACAATGTGCTACCTTTTTGAAAAGATAATGCTGTAGAGCTGATAGTTGACTGACTTATTTTGTGGGTCAAGTTTTATGAAAAATATCGTGAACTTCAATTCCATTTGCATAATCTAGATTAGTTTGAATGACATCGGGAGAAGGTACCCAGCCTTGCATAACACAGACTGATGGTCAGAAAGATTTTTCTTGTAAAATGAAGGGAAAAAATGCTGCTAAACAAAGATCTTTTATTGTTTCTAAAGGCAGGAAACCACTTCAAATAATACTCTGTGTGTAGTATTCAGACATTTCACTTAAAAGCACAGAAATTCTTCAAAAGAAGTCTGTCTTTTTTTCTTGACATAGGGATCACCGTTTTGCTCTCTTGTTAAACAGGTACAAATTCACAGTGTTTATAAGACAGGTATGTAATGAGTAGTACCCAAGGCACAGAGATTAAAGAGATAAAAAATATGTATTGAATTCAGTTATCAAGAAGAATATAGAAAGGCAAATGATGTGCCAAATAGGCAGTATATTTTTGTTAGAGCAGTTTTTCTTTGTGTTGTTCTCAGTTATTAGTTAGCTATTGATTTAGGAGGAACAGCCCTACCCAGTGACTCATTCTTAGTTTCTATGACACCCTTAAGAGTTGGGTGGTATGCCTACAGCAACAAACAAGTCATATTTTCAAGTTCTGAATAGCTGTGGTAATTATGAAAGCAAAGCTGTATTTGTATTTGTCATGATGATCAGATAGTTTTTCTTATTACAGTTAAAAGCAAGAACAAAGACCAGCAAATTCTCAACAGATTAATGAATACTCACTCCTCTTGATAATGGCACTTTAGCATTCAGATCTCGTAGGTTAACTGCTCTAGGTAGGTTGTTAAGAGCATAAATGCAAAGGTAGAATAAATATTATCTGTTTGATAGTGAAATCAAATCCTTTTTCTGTTAGGAGAAGATCCGTTTGTGTTGGATTAAGTTAATCCTCAAGATGTTGACTGACACATGAGGCCTGTGGTCAGGATAATTATTTTCTTGTTATTGTGAAATAACAAGAAATACATTTGCTTTGATGACCTCTCTCTGCCTGGCCCACTTAACAGAAAGATTAGCCTTTCAGAGGAGTGATTCTTCCCAAACTATGGAAACACCTAAATTCACTTTATCAACATAGAAGAAACTGTATTTTATTTAGATAATAATTATATAATAATAATTTACATAGTAACTCCATGTTGCAGAAGAACATGGAGTAAGACAATGGAGGACTAATTAAGATATAGAGGTTTGTCTGTTCTTTCCTGATGACCTTTGGGGTTGAATTGCTTTTATTCGAAGGTTCAGAACATTGCCATTAATTTTCAGGATAACTTTGTTGTGTAGTCATGACACTCAAATATTGAGTAGAGTTGTCTGAAAGAAAGTGTATGGACTACTAAGATGGCCAGAAAAAAAGGTGCTTTTGCAATTCCAAGGGAAGGATTAAATCTTCAGTTTTACTTTAAGTGGAGGATTTTTTTTTTTTCCCCTATATGTGCAATTGTAATGTSTCCAAATAACCATCACAACAGCTAAGGAAATGATAGTTACCTTCTGCCCTTGCAGCTTTAGAGAGTTGTCCATTTTGATTTTGCCTGTGGTGGAGTGGCATCCACCTCTGGGTTATAGTATCTGCTTTCTTTATCTCAGTGCTGTAAATATGGCTAATAGTGTGAATGGCTGTGSAATACTCATTTTTATACCAGTTATATGGAGAGGAATAATGAAACTTCAGGGCTTCTGGAGAGCCCTTATAGCACCTAGAAATCCTGCTTAGCAACAAAGATCCCGTTATCTGTACAAGTGACAAGAGTTCATGAAAGCATGAGGAATGTCAATCATCATGACAAGAGAGTCATCCAGAGCATCTTAGCCATTGCCAGGGTTCAGGTGAGCATAAAAARGTATTTTAAAATGGGATTTGAGAACACCTCTTACATTACTTTTGAGATATTTATGAATTGCTGCTTCCAAGAGTGGATGCACCAAAGGGAAGTTCAGGAAAATGTACAAATTGTAAATGCTAATGGGTGAAAGCAAAATAGGTGTTACAACATCAGCTGTTTCTTTTTTGAATAAAATTTGCAACAACATCACGGCCCTAATGTGATGGATTAGAGATAGCAATTTACTAAGAATTAATGTTCTTTTTGAGCAAATCTTTTCTGTGGACATAGATACTTAGAATCTGTGAGTGGATTTTATTCCATTTGCTGGTTTTTATTTTTATGTTATAAATAATGGAAGACAACATTTAATAATAAAGTAGGGTAGACTTTGAGAATTGATATGTAGAGTGTGAATTTTAATACTTTTTAAAAAGTAGTATTCTGGTATTTCAATCCTTTTGAATTTTAGTCTATTACTGTTACAATAAATTCATAAATGTACCCTGTTTCTTCTGAAATGTATCTATTTCTTTCTTAAAAACCTATTTCTTTTACCTGTTTTATATATACCTGAGGTATAAATACCTGAGGTATTTATCATTCTAATTAATAGTAGTTAGGGAGATTTCTGTTGTCAAGCACTGTGATAGGATTCTACATGTACTGTGAGGAGATGACTGTTAGTCATGGACTTGATGGTCAAATGTCAGCCAAAGAGAAGAAGCATCCTTCCTGTGCATCTACCTCCTCAGGAAGGAGTATTACCAAAACATTATTGCCTTTTCTATGGGTCAGGTGAGAGAACCCACATGCCAGGAACTAAATTCCAGTCTAATCCTTCAGAAATGCAGGGATGATGCCTACACAACATTACTTCTTTGGTGTTGCAGTTCCACTGAGTTTTACAAGCTATGCCTGATTTCCTAGGATGGTTGTGGATGAGCAAGAACAGTGGGGCAGGTCAGCACGTCTGCTCTCCTCACTCTGATAAGCAGTTGCTGTAGGCCAGTTTTCCCCTCCCTGTCAAGGCTTAGTAGAGAGACACTGGCCTCAGCAGATGCTGATGCTTGCCAGTCATCTGATTAGTGTTAGACACCTATTTTAGCACCTATAATAGACATGTTTTAGTGTGTTGTTGAATTCCTGTAACAGGCACTTCCTTGTTCTCAGTGCTTAACTGGGGAAGGTGGAGTGAGGCAGAGAAAAAGAAATCGGAATATTTCTAACTTTGGCATAATAGTGCAGAATATCATGTATCACAATTAGGAATGTGAAATGCATACCTTGAGTGGTCAAACCAGACAGGAAGGTATTTAAATATTCCTGCGTAGGTTTCTCCTTTCACCATTTAAAGCTTTTTTTTTTTTTTTTTTTTTTTTTCCCCCCTCCTGTTCAGGTGAGGAAAATAATTTCTCATTTCTATCCAGTAAGTTTGTAGCTTTGAGAGTTCTGCTTTATAGTTCCTGTTCTATTTTGATAACTCATATGTTGAGTTTCTTCTGTTTTTTTTTTCTATCAAATTTCTCTAAAAGAGTCTGTAAGAAGCAACACTTCTTTCTTCAAAGGTAGTTCTTTCTTGGAAGAAAATCTCGCGTTTATAAGAATTCTAACATGGATAATATATATAGAATAATAAATATATAGAAAGAGTTTATTACACAGATGGAGATTAATGATCTCAATACAATTTAAACTTCCATACTTTTATAAAGAAATAAATAGAATTGARTGGAGCATTATACTTTTTCCCTAAAGAACTGCATACTATCTTTGAATTTTCTGCTGAGAAAATTGATAATTATCGTCCTCAAAGACTATATCTAAGCTTTCCAAAGTTGAGTCTTATGTTATGATAATCTCCTCTAAGAAAACAAAAACTAGTTATTTAATGGAGAGCTGGTTTTGCAGTCCTTATGTAAAAAGAGATTTTAGTTCATATTTAATTACTTTGTAGGATATTTGTGCAAAAAKCATAAAGCAAAAATATAGAACAGTCCCTTGTGAAAGAGGCAGAGCCTATGGTAGTATTTCTATAAGCATGTTTTGTATGTTTTTTGTCTAGGAAATTAGTTAAGAATCCATACTTGAGAGATGTTGAATCATTAGAGATAACCAGACATTTAGTTAATTCTTGTAAGGTAACTTAAGGAGTCTAGACTGAGAAATCTGATGTATTCGATACAGTGCAAAACTAAATTCTTTTACCCCCTCCAAACATCAGTTCTTTCCCATATGTTTGTGTTAAATATGCTCAGTTTAAAACATCTTCTACAAAGTATTCAGACCCTACAGAATTGTCTTAGAATGTGAAAGTCAATCCATCTCTCAACCCTCCCACTGTCACCATCAATATATTCCTTCCATTCTTGTTTCTTGTCAAGCTACATTCTGCTCTCTCCAGTGTTTCCAAGCACCAACCTAAGCTGCTAGGTCCCTGAACTATTTTTTTTCACTTTTATTTTTTTCTTTTGGAAAGATTTTAATTTTTAGAAAACAAAAGAAAAAGTGAAAGAACACTGAAGAAGAGACATGGCTATATATTTATAGAAAGCACATTTTTGCTTTAGGAGGACCCTTGCTCTGTGGTCATATGTTCAGGACGTCTGAAGGAGAAAAATGAGTAGTAACACAAGCTGGATTCACTTCTGTGGAAGAAAGTGGTTCCATGTTTCCATGTTTAAGTCTGCTCTACTGCTCGGTACATGTATAGAAAAGGCATAAAAAAATATTTATCAACTATATCCTAAGCTCTGTCATCTGTTTGGTAATTGCTTATCTTCCCACAGGCTCTGAAGAATAATTTGGCTATCTTTTATGCAACTTTAAAGAACAAATCTAATTAAGTAATAAAGCATTAATCGATCAGTTTTAAAGACCGGGTATATGAAATAAGGCCATGAGCAAAGGAGTTTAATGTAATCAAATGTTCAGTAACATTTATCTTATTGCTGAACTGAAAAATAAATTTTATTTTATTCTTGGGACACAAATACAGTATCTGCTCTTTTAGAAGAGAGGTCAGAAGTCAAAATGTCAAAATGGAGTCAGGAGGTTCACGATTGAAAGGAGTCTTATATCTATCCAGCCTGGCTCACTAATAATATGTATTTGGTATTTTGCGGTCCCTCTGAGTTCTTCTTACCTTACTAACATGACCTAATAATYGTGATTTCCTTATCTCTACTTGACCTCAAGCTTGGAATGCTAGGTGTGTGTATTAGAAATTTGGGAGTCAAATGGTTTACAGGTGRAATGAAAGATTTCCCACTCCTTGTGTGATATATTCTCAAAACCCAGCTTATTAATAATGGAATTCTCTTTGCCATTTGCTTGATGGAGAAGATTTTATGCCTGCAACCCAGTGCAGAAGGGATGAGATGGGATATGTGATTTTTTTTTTTTAATGTCATTCTTTGAGAAAACTTGGAAAATAATCTTTCAGAGGCAACAGGAGAGTTGATTAGTGTGTTAATTCAGTCATTTTTCATACTGCTGACTATCCTGTTCATTAAGACATCTACATCTCATGGCTGAATGTGCAGAGGTTCTGACTGGAGGTTCTGCAAGTCACTAGGGGTGAGGGCAGTCATCTCTCTAAAAATAAATGGCCTGATTCTTGTACTTTGGAAGAATTTTCACTCAAGCAAGAAAGAATTTTCACTCTGCCACTGCCAGATGGCGATGGAAGCATTACTACAGCAAGAGGACATTAACGAAGATGCATTCAGCAATGCAAACTGTTACCATAGCTACAGGATGCTAAATGTTTAAAATAAATAAAATTAGACTGTATTATTTAGATTGTTCAGTAGGAAAGTAATAATTTTTGCTCATTTTTCTATTCTGAAATGGATGCATTTCATCTTCTTTATACTTAAAACTTTGTTGTAGTGTTCTCTTACTGACTGGGTATATTTCTTTATGCCCTTTTATTTTTATTCTAGAACAAGTATTTTCTCCCTGTTCTTCTAAATTTTTTAAACATATCTGTGTAACTGAATAGAGCATAACAGTCTATAGAATTTCTAAGCACTCTTTAAGCTTTGATAATGAGATGTTATAAACAGTGAAATTAATGTTGGAGTTATTGTGGCTCCTGCGTGTTCCTAGTCAGACTGATGTCCGCTATGGTAGCTGCCACACAAAAAGGAAGTTTCATGAAAATGCAGATGCATCAAAGGGCCTAAAATTTGGTATTAAAAGCCACAATAAGTGAGCAAACCAAACTGTTAGAAGAGGAAAGAGTTTGAGGTGTAAAAGAATRTCAAAACAAGCATATTTTACTATTGGAGGCAGTAGTGACTATATAGCCACATGGCCAAAGATAATGCCTTGGGGGGAGTTTTCTTCATTTTCCTTAACGTTTTATCAAAGTTGTTTCTGTCGTACTGATATTTACAGAGTGTTTATAAACCAACAGAAGTAGCTGGCCTGAGTAAATGGGGAGGGGAGGAAGCTGTGTGGTGAGCATGAACACTGCAGTTTGGTTTTATCTCCATTCCTCTTTGCCTAGAAGCAATCATTAGATTCCACTTATTTAAACACACGTCTTAGGCAATATAGAAAAGGTTAAGGACAACCTGGCAGGAGTTCAAAGGTGAGAGATTTCTCATTGCTACGGGGTGCACAGATGAGAGAAAAATTGCGGTTTGTGCTGGTTCAGCAGGGTGCTTTTTTGTGTGTGTTTGAAAATAGTGTCCTGGCAAAGGTTGTGGGGAAAAAATAGAGTTTTGGCACTGGGTAATTCTGTAAATCATCTAATAACTCATTAGTTTATATAGGAATTGTGACAATTGCGCTCCTGTGTCATTTTCTCCTTAAAGTGTTTGTCGCCAACCTGAACATATGGAATATTGTTTTTGCTCCCATAGTGGGGCTTTTTCCTTACTGCAAAATCACACACTGCGTGTTGTATTGGCACCATCTGTTCCTATTTTAAATATTTAGATTAATGGTCTAGCATTAATCCAATGTCTCAAACTATTAAGAGCACTAGATATGTGGAAGGGTAGACAAAGAACAACTGCTTTCCTCCAGGAAAAAAGAAAGTTATCATTCTAATTTGATTTTTCACTTARAATATTTCACAGATCTGGGCCAAATATGCTAATGCAGTTCAAGCAAGTAAAATATTCAGATGTGAATAATCCATGAATATACATAACAAATCATATTTAATTACATTTTGATGTCTGGATAGAAGCCAGTATGTTTAGTCAAGTCTCATAGGGAAACTGCACTCTCTATTTATGCATCATTTCATAAATTGTTTTACCACCATGCTTAGCTCTGTTCTTCAGACAGATTTTAAATTTGATACCAGTTGTTAAGACCAGCACCGTATTTAAAATGAAACCCAAATTTCAGTATAAAAGTGCCAAGGAAAATTCYAGTGGAACTTTTACTCAGTCCAACTAAAAAATTAGCAGAGACTTTTCTGCTATCTTTTTCTACTTCTCTTAATGTAATAAATTTCCTGCAGTAAGAGACTGTGCCTGTCTGTGTTTTGTTATTTATTCTTAGAAGCTACCTATAGCCTTCTATAGGTAGCTATAGAAAAAAACACTAATTTCCACACCCTCCTCCCCCCGCACAAATCAGTACTCCTATCACTTCAAAGGATTCTAAATTTGGTGCTTAGTTATTTTTGTGCTTAACCCTTTTGTCTGTTTTCTCTGCAATAGCAAGTACTTTACTTTTTGTAACTCTGTAAATGGACCAACATAAATATTTTAAAATAACAAGGCAAGGGTAAAATTCAGAAAAATCAAGAAAAAGAAGCTATATCAAAATATATTAAAATTATGATAAATTAGCTACATGGTAACTTTACGTATTAATTGCTTGTATAAATGTGATGTAGAAATTTGTGAATGTACATATGTCTCAGCCAAAAAATCAGCCAAGTTTCAGACGTTTGCATGAACGTTCAGTTTCTCATCTATCCTTAGTCTTGCTAAGGCAATGTTTTGATTTTAATCTAAAAACTACTCTTTACTCTTACACATGTGCAGCTAACTTCATGGCAAGAGATGACAAATTAATTCTGCTTTATTTGTCATGCAGGCCAGCAAACCCAAACAAATTAAACAAAGTAATTCTCATTGAGTAAAACAAAATATTGGGAGAGAATCAGAAATGGGTGTTAAACATGACAATTGTTTTTTTTTCCTTCTTGATCCATGATAGTGAATTTAATCTAGTTTTAAGTAAAGCTTCAAACCTGCATGAAACCTTGATGTAAGGGAGTTGACTTTCCTGGAGTATTAGACATCCACATCATAAGCAGTGCTTTCTTTATGCCAGTTACTTCCATCTGTATGTTTGTAATCTCCACAGATTTATGGTTTCTTGACTGAGGCAGAGTCACCTATCTGCAGCTAAGTTCTCCTCCTTTTAGAGCTCGCTTTGGTGGAGTAATGCTGGCAGTTGTGAACTGTTAATGAACTACAGTCGTGAACTGCTGTTAATGTTATGTGTCCTTCTTGGGATACGTTCCTTGTCATAGAGCCTGACATCAAACGTCTGATATTTCTTAGCTGTGAGTTTACTTCAAGGGAGTTTCTTTAGTTCTGCTCTGATAGAAAGTGACCTTTTCGGTATTAAATATGTGATCTAAATATTTCATAAAGAAAATGGAGTTTCATCCATCACAAATTGCTACATTTGTATTATATTTTCTAATAGTATTCCTTTAAAAAAATAATTTCTACCACTTTGGCATAAGAAAAATGGGAAACTAGAAGGTGGGTGACGTAAYGTATGGGGTACATTATGGTATATTTCAGGGCCTTGGGAATATGTGATCTGCAGGATACTTGGACCACAAATAGCTTTTGTGTTCCTGATTTCATAGCAGTGAGGAAGGATGATGGAGGAAGAGGGAAGATGGTAACTGAGAAGAGAGTAGGCCTGTATTCTTTTTCTTTTTTTCTTTTTTTTTCCCCCTAGAAACTCAGATTCTATGGTATCTAACAGATATCATAGCGATAATTTTAATAGATATTTTTATTTTGGGCAATTGATTTTAATTTATGTCTTAAAGGTGGTGTTTGTTCTTGTAAAAACAAGGCTTTGCTTTGTTTTTCTACATCTGCTGTAACTGCGGACATTTAGATCTTTTGGTTAACACCAAGTTCAAGWTCTTGCCAAGTGTTAGAGGTTTAACTTTTAAAACATGAAGCATGGGGTGATACCATGCGACAAGTGAGTTCAAAGGAGAGCTTGTGTTTACCTCACTCATTGCTTTATACTTTCTATATCACCAAGTTCATTATATGCACTTGTACACTTGTACTTTCAAAATATTAGTGAGGTACATTACAGTTACTGAGGAGCAATGTATGGAAAGAGCTACTTCACAGGGAATAAAACCTCCTTGGAGACCAAGTAAAAATTTTAGCCCTGAGAAGTCCTTCTCAGCTTTCATCTCAGCTTTCATCTACCTTAAACTCTATGGGTGCATATTCTTTACCTCAGATATCTCAAAGTCTGTTTCTGTGCATCTCGGGAGGCACTTCCTTGTCACCGCAAGGTGACCTGGCAGCTAACTAGTGGCTAAGTGCAGCTGGAACATGGGTCAGGAGCCACCCCTAAAGGCCCTAGGCTCTTTATGTATAGGATCCATGCAGGAGAAGCCTCTGTCCAAAATGGACCTGATGCTTTCTCCTAGAGGGGAGGCCAAGAGGAACCAAGCTAAAATYA